GTTCTATCTTTTACTGTTAGGGTGAGATGTAAGAGAGCGACAAATGGACTCTACTTTGGATTGTAAACTAACAGACGGTTTATTGATGATTTTAGTTGTTACTATGTAAGTGAGAGATGTAAGCAAAACATATTTTGAAGCAATTTGAATATTCGGTACGATTGATTTGCTGTGCGGAGAGTATTCGGTTACGATGAGAGCGAATGAGCAAACGAATGGAATGTTGATAGCTTATGATGCTGACTGCACCGTTGTTTTTTCACTTTGTTGAAGCGAATAGTACACAGTCAGCTTACAGTCTTCAATTGTGTTCAATCGAAAGCGTGCTGAGAGAGTAAAACTGACATGCATACATGCGTTATCTTTTTATGATTCAGAGAGGGACTATACGTAAAGGACAACAAATTATTTACATACAACAGCAAAGCTTTTTTATGCTCTTCATTCTGTATAATTCATAACAAACGTAATCAGATAACACGAAGTGATGAGTTGAAAATGCGATGTTTTTATAGGGCGTATGAAATTGCTGGAAGCAAATGAGCAGATAGTGACACTTGACCTTAAAACGAGCACTGCGGTTAAAGCACCACAAAAATGGCAAACACTCGATAATATCATCAATAAAGTGAATCTGAAACTTGGTGGTATCAACTTTGGTTTACGTTTGGAGACCGAAGGGTCAGTGATTGAATCTATTATTGGGCACAGTTTTGCATTTTATTCCATTTAAATCATATTTTATCGTTAGTATTTTTGTTGTCATTATTATTATGGTCATTACTATTAGTGGCATTTCATATGATCACTGATAGTAGAATTATCACAATTGTGATTGTTGCGATTGGAATAATTGAGAATGGTGAGTGTGTGAATTGGCAATGAGGTGAATAATTTAAGTGCTCAAAAAAGCATAATGAATCCGAATCGTATCATTGTTGGTATGGATGTGGCTCATCCGCCAGCGATTAACAGACGAAGAGACGAGGAGAATTTGGTGCCCTCGATTGTTGGGTATTCATCGAACTGTAAGAAGCATCCATTGGACTTTATTGGTGGATATCGTTACGCTAGAGCGAATCAAGAGGAGGTTTTGTTTTTCGGTTCTGTTCACGTTTAGTTAAGATATTGAGCGTTGACTTAGTACCGTCTTAAATAATAGATGTAAGCCTGGCTCAGGCCCACAACATCAATGATATTGGTATACCGGTCGGTTTCGAGCTGGATATCAGTAATGTTGTGTACCTTCTTAAAATTCCTTGCATGTTATCGCAATACCCTTCCGAAATATGCCTAATTTAGTGAATTTCTTTCGAAAGGGTAATCATCAGATTGAAGTAGTGCAGAAAATATATTTTTATGGTCATATATGAAAAGGTTTCGTTTTCATATATGCATTCTTTGCGAAGTTTTGATATTTTTTGAAAAGCGTTTCATTGCAGATAGCAGATTCAACTATTACTGATCTAATGGTGGAATCAATGAAAAAATTCAGAGAGAATCGTAACATTCTACCGAATCATATTATTTTACTGAGAGATGGTATCTCAGAAGGACAGTATACATATGTAGGCGATTTATTTTTGCTTCATTCTTCATTTAGCATCTCGGAAAAATAGAGTTTAATATTCATATCAGTTTTCCTTATGAATTCTCAATATGAATGGTGTTGAAAAAAGAATTGGGATGGAATGAGAGGCATGTTGAAGGTGATCCAGAACGAAGTTGAGCAAGTGAAGAGTGCGTGCGGTCAAATTGGTGGTAATGCTTATCGCCCACATATTACGTTCGTGGTTGCCACGAAAATGCATAATTTACGTCTCTTCAAAAAGGTTTCTTAATTGTTCTTTTTGTTCGCTCATTCAATTTTCATTTCTCTGTTACCATTTCATTTCGATCAACTCATAAATAGCGACTTATTGATGTGCTGCTTATAGATGTTTTTTGAATTGGATTTCGAAACATTTCAGTTTTTTCTTATTGTTGTTTTTTTGTTGTTGTTGTTGTTGTTGCGTTGATGAAATTAAATCTAAAACTTGAGCCTTGATTAGCGGTGTTGTGTTAATGTTAGGTAACAATGAATTAATAAGATAAAGAAAAGTTTACGAACGTTGTGAGACGCACGAATATAGTGATGATAAGTTAAGCAGCTTAATGCTATCATCAAAGAAATCGAAAGAAAGCAGAGAACTGCAGTACTGCTAAAATTGGAGTGACTATTTGGTATAAAATAAATGATGTAGGGATGGATAGATATG